CAAAAAGCTGATCAATCTTCTTGCTATTTAGTTTCTGACCTTTGTGAGCATTTGCAACTTCCATAGATCTTTTTCTTAGTTCTTCTTCGTGTTTACCTTGACAGTTAACAGTAAGTATTTCTAATGATCTCTTTACTTGGCTTTTTTCGACATGTTCCCTTATGATTTGTTGCAGCTTTTCAAATAACTCGTTCACACGGATTTGCTGCATATTTTTCCATTGAATGACAATGTCTTTATATTTACTTCCATCAAAATAATTTTGAATATTTTCTTCAGTTTTGATTTTTTCATTTAAAAGAATTTCATAAAGCTCGCGTATCAGATTGTCTGCTACGCTCCGTAGTTTTTCCTTACGATCGCATTTAGCAAAGCTGTTTTGCGATATTTGTAATAATTTGTCACGAACAAGGCTTTCAAGTCGCCAAAGTTCAGCTTGAACAACACACTCCATTTCCATGTAAGCTTTTATTTCAAGACTATTTCTAAAAGAGAAAACAAAGTCTTCATTTAGAACACCTTTCCATAAATCATGTGCTTGTTCAACAATATCTGTCAATGTCTTGTATGATTTATCCTTCATAGTCAAAGCTTTTTTCAAGATGTTGCACTTTATATCAACTACACTTTCACTGTATTCATTATTTACTCTTGCCATCGGTGGATTTCCTTGCCATAAATTCTTCAAATACCACACTTGCGAGTTTATGTCAAACTCAATAACTTGGTTAAATGTTGTGATGTCAAGAATTCCCTCACTTCTCGCCGACTCTTTTGTCATTTCATCCAAAGTCTGCATTAATTTGCTTAAACCACCTATCATATTTTCTCTTGCGGACATATCAGGTACATTTTGATGAATAAATGCACAACTTTTCCTTATATCATCTAATTTTTTTGTTTGTCATTTTAAAATGTAGACGTAAAAGCATGAACAATAACTTGAAAGAACATAAATTCCTTATTTCGCTTGTATTTTCTCCCATTATATTTAACATTGTTATGTCACCTACACCAGTTATAATGGTAGCCAATTCATTATCATGTTCATGTTGCAGATTACTTAACTCGGGTGACCTCAGACCTTCTGTGTCAACAATAAGTACATAGCTAAAAACCGAAGAGGTTTCGCCCAAATGGGTATTTTTTGCAGGAATCAGCTGGACATGTATTCCCCTAGTACACCTACCGGTTCTTGAAGGAAATTGGGATCCAAACATCGTGTTCAAAAGAGTTGACTTTCCGGAACTTTGCAGTCCTAAAACGCTGAGTGTCATCACTTTACTAGATCCAATACATACATCAACATTTTTGAGGACAGTTTTAATCCAGTGGTAAGGCATGTAAAAGCTCTCGCCATCTATCAGCTCGAAATGGTGTCCATCGAGTATAAGACGACTGACAATATTTGACATATGGTGTAAAGTTGGTAATCCAAATTTGGTTGTATCTTCTTTAAGATCTAAAATAGCCTCATTTATGTGACCAATTTCACGAAAGAAATGTTGAACTGTAAATGATGCGTCGTCAATTTTTTCTTCCAAATCCCGAATGACAGTTTCTTGATTTTCCACGATCTTATCATTTACCTGTTTTTCAGAGTATTTAAGTGATTTTAATTTTTCCCAAGCACATCGATATGCATACATCAACCGAGGTAATATTTGGCGTTTTTCTCTGTCAATATGAAAATGTAACCAAGAAAGAAAATATTTAAGAACCAAAGGGTAATTGCTGTTTTTTATAAGGATATGAACAAAAAGTGTAACAGACTTAGTAATTGATGCAATTTGTTGTCGTCTCACTGTTATGATTTGTGCATCTATTGTCCCTCCTTCTACAATATTTCTCCCTCTTTCCTTTTCTTTTAAGAGTTTTCCTAATTGCTTTGAAAAGTTACTATGGACTGGTGTTAAGTGTTGTTTCCAACCACTTGGTTCACCGTCAGCTTTCATTTGTTTCATAAGATTAATAGCTTCTAACTTGCCCTGTTGACAGACGTCACCATCTTCGTCTGTTTTTATTATCACAAATTTTGCTTCCGATAATCGTTCTTCGAAAGACTTTGTTTTGAATTTTTCAAGCTGATCAGATATATTTTTTGTTATGCCTGATAGCATGTCTACGACATTTTGCTCAACAGTGTCTTTATGTGTACTCAAAATTCGTAAACTGATTTCTGATTTTGATGAAATTACACTACTTTGAAATTTCTTAACGAGTCTAACTGCATCAGGGCTTAATGGGTCCGCAATTATCAATATGGCTGAAGAAGAACATCTTTAACCATCTTACTTAGGTTCAAAACCATGTGTAAATCAACAATTATAACAATTGAATCTATAAAGTTTGCTATGAAGTACAAAATATCTGTGCTAAAATGTTTGCAAAGATCACCCCTTAAGTTTAAAAATGTCATTGGATCCTGAAATCTATCTTTTTTTTCATCGATGGTAGGTAACCAAAACATCTCTATCTGCCCATTACTTAATTTTCTTGGAGACATCCCAGAGGGACAGTCAATGTTAAAAAATGTCTTACAACCTTGACTAAAAAGGAGACTATTGATCAGTTTCGATTTTGAATAGCGAGGGCGACCTAGCCTTCCAAAGGCTAATACCTTTGTAAACAGTTCAAGGGCATCGCTCTCTCGACCACGTTTTTCATTTTCATTGGCATATATTTGCTTATTGTCTATGACCAGGGACCGCAACGGCCAGACAGAGAGAATTGGAGTGTGTTTTTCATAAGTTTCCCAAAAGCTATAAAAAAAGGGTACAGCAAGTTTGCAAATATATAGTTTTTGAACAAATATTTTTTTCATAAATGGATCACAACACTGAAAAACAACAGTAAATATATCTAATGGGCTGATATCTCGATTGTCATTTACTTCCAAAGAAGGTGATATTGAATCCTCAAAGTTCAGACTACTTTCAGTACTTTCTGCTTCTAACACTGTTATGTCTCTAGATTCACTATGGGTACATATCAAACGATTGAGAACCAGCCAAGGAATATCAGTTAAGGATATCTTCCCATTAACCTTCTCAATGGTTTCATTCGGAGTAACTGCTATGACATCTTGTATAGATATTTTGCCTGGGAATTTGTCTGTCAATCCAAGCTTTTGCAGTATTTGATAAAAAATCTGGCCTTCAGTTTCAGCAGAAGCTGCAAATATGACCATATATATGTAATTTTGCCTTAAAACTAATTTCATAATTAAATAAAATAAAATCTAGTGTGAAAATGAACACCACAATGAATCGATTTTGTATTTTGTATTCGGTAATTAAGGACCTTTTATGCAGAAAACATAATTCAGAGTTCCGTCAAAAAAGAAAAATTAAAATTCCCTGACTTTTCCCTGACCAAAACTATTTTCCCCTGAGTAATAACAGCATCAAGTTTTCACAATCTTTGTGCTTTCAAAGTATTTTTATATGTTGGCCGTCTCATCCCAATACTAGCCAACTATTTTCCCCCCATTCTTTATTTTAAATTAATTTAGATAAAGAATGTATCCAAAATCTTCAGGCGTATTCATATTTTTAGAGTAGGATGTTTGCATTTGTACAAAAATGCTATTCCACCAGTGACAGTAATAAAACACTAAATAGTGGCAAAAGAAGTAGATTACTTTTTGGATCAGTCTACACAATCTTAAATTAATTACATTACCTTTTTCGGAGAACATAAAAAAACATTTACGATAAAAAACCATCATTAGAGGGAATGTATAACATTTAAACTCATCTAAACTACCTTTATTTACAAGAGAATCATAACGTTCCTTTTAACGTACCCAAATCAGTTCATAGGTAACATCTCTCTTGCTAGAGGTGATGACCTTAAGACTAAAAACCTGCTACTAAATATTTTTTAGAAAAATTATATAGCATGTAAATTTGTACAAAAGACATTCCAATACTAGTTGTATCATTTCAATTATAAAATTTATGAGATGGATTATAAAATTGAAAGTGCAGAAAAGACATGGCAGTGCCGATTTTAACCCAAAAAGCTTTAATTTTGATAATCTCAATAAATATTTATATGACAATGTTGCATGCTAAATATCTTAAGTTAAGCCCTTGTAATTTTGAAGAAAAAGAAAAATATCTAAACTTAAGCCCTTGTGATTGTGAAGAAAAATAATGATAAGTATATAAATATAAGGAAAACACATTACTCCTGGAGCGGGTCAATATGACCTCAGGGCTTAATTGGAACAACTTTTAAGAGATTAACAAGACAATGCCTCGTGAACTTTTATAGAAGAAGATTTTTTAAATTGTTTTTTTCTCTTATTCCTTTCGATTGCCAAGACAACTAGATTTCTGCATCCATTGATCAAATTATTTGAACAACTTTGGAAGCTCTCCATCCAAGGAACAATCCGGCAAGTTTGTTTGATTGTTTCTTTTTTTGTTTTTTGGTTTTACGTCAAAAAGTTTCTTGTGGTTTTATAGTTCACTATATAATCTATGTAACACGCGCACGCACACGCACACCCACGCGCACACACACACGCACACATGCACGTAAGTATTTTGAATAAATTGCTTTATGCCACCACATCGCAGATGCTGCGGTTGCATAAAAATATTATCATAATAATAAATTACAATAAAGATAAAAAGTAAAATAGAAAAAAACTGTCTTATCCTTTTGTCATTTTATTTTTAACTGCTGGACTAGCATTCTTCTCTATCAAATTCCATGACATTTCAATGACTTTTTTAAAATTTTCCTGACCAGTTTCAAAATTCTCTGAAATATCCCTGACCTTGAAGGAATCACTTTTCCCTGACCATAGAAAACCTATTGAGTTTTATATTGATCTTCAAACGCTAAATGCTAACAAAACAATTACCGTATATTTATATCATATCACAGCCTACTAAGTTATCTAACTTGTCTGTTTGTTATCAATTCATAATTTGTTATTTGTAGTGAATGAAATTAGACATTAAGTAATCTAACATTCAACAGAACTAATAAGCTTGATTACCTTTATAATTTGAAGAATGAGGCCTTTTATGATCACGTTCGGCAATGTTACTATCATCAGTTTCAGCAACAGCAGATTCTGAAATAATTTTTATGAAAAAAATTGTTTAATGAAATCAAAAGTTTAAAACGTAGTGAAGTTACTGTATTAGACATGCTACGGACTTGACATAACTTCCAGTGTAGTTAGACCGAGTTTGAATTAATCGACAATCATAAAAAACGGTTCTTAATGAAAAGAAGCACATCAAATTCCCTTATTGTTTTTTATAACGTTAAATGAAACAGTTACATTTTTAATTTAGTTGCCATCATTTCTCTTAAATCAAGGAACATGGCGATGACACGAAACCAGGTTATCAATTATCACCATTGTAGAAAGTTTTTAAGATGTTGGAATACATATGTAGGCAGCGTAACTTTGTGCAATATAAAAAAAACAAATAATGAAGAAAATAAGAAAACAGGCATTTTGTAAAACTTTAGAGGGGAAATCTATTTTATATGATCTTAGGTAGCCTTAAAGCAACCCCATACCATAAGCTTGCTTTATACCAATGTTACTTCATATACCACCACTGACTTTATTGATCTCCAGTAAACAAATTTTCTATTATACGTTTATGTGACCGTGACCATAAGGAGCCCAAAAGCAATCCAATGTGAGGTTTAAAAAAATGGGTATACTATACAACAAGTTTAGTTTATAAATATCTGATTCCTAAATCTAGTTATTGACTTGACTTATTCTCGTTTTACTAACAGCGGCATTGACTTTGACTAAAAGGAGTCTATAAGCAGCCCCAAAATAGGCTATGCAAAAATTGCATTAAAATATCTTATTCCAAACTCTAGTTATTTGACGGTAACCGATTTTCCGTTTAAGAAAGAGTAACCATGTCTTTGACCCTAAAAGGCCTTAAAAGGGATTCCAAAGCACGGTCTTTCAATAAGCTTTATACATGTTATATACACTAAGTGTTAAGAATATAAGCCATTATTAACTGAGGGTATTGACCGAAAACTATCTTGATTAACGACAATCAGACCGCCCATCCACCTGCCCGCCTTTCCACAATGTAATAACCAGGATTTTTTTTTTAAATTGATAAACTGAATATAATCATTCAAACTGTTAAAGGCAAAGATTCTGATACGTTTTTGCATTTCTCTTGCGGCTGGACAACGTGTCCCATGCAAAAATCAATAATTTACTTTAATGTATACTTTCCTACAGAGCCCCTAAGGTGACATTTTCAACACTTTTTTTCGGGACTAAATTCTTTTTTACGAAATATTAATTCGTCATTACAAGATATTAATTCGTTATAATGAAATATTTATTTGTAAAATCGAAATATTAATTCGTAATAACGAAATAATAATTTGTAATTACGAAACATATTTTTTACGAAAGATTATTAAAATTTTCGTAATACGAACTATTAATTCGTTATTACGAAATATTAACTCGTTACTACGAAATATTAATTCGTAAAAACGAAATATTAATTCGTTAAAACGAAATATTAATTCGTAAATACGATTTAATATTTTGTTTTTACGAAATGAATGTTGTTATCACAATAGACACAATAGCCTCTTTCTTGCCGCCCTTTGGCATTTACTGTCTTGATATTAAATGCGGAAAGAGGCCAGTCATACCCTTGCTAGAAGATGACCCATATTATTTTTTTAGTCAGTCTTCACATACTTTTTAAATATCATGCAGTGCCTTTTTCAGCTAATTCCGGGAAAGGCTCCTGATTTATATTTAAGAACATTATGTGACATTTTGTGTATTTGAGAAATCCTTAAAAAAATAAAAAGCTACCTTACAGATTTGTCCTAAAAGGGCTGGCTGGCCTCAAGATGATAGAAAAAATGTTCTTAAGAGTTTTTGTGTTTATGAATTTTGGTATTTTGTTTAAATTTTTTTAGGAATTTTTTGAAAATGAGTTCCCGACTAAATCTTAGTCAGATTAACACAGTATACGTAGCATTACTTTTTTCATCCCTAGTCTTATACCTTAACCCTACGGTATAACAGTACTGTTTACTTGTATAACTTAAAATAATCGCTTCTTGATCAGTTGCCGCGATGCAGAGTTAGTACAGACGCTGAGAAAAGTTTGTAACACTTTAGCTCCAGGGGCTCAAAACACAAACAACAAAAAAAATTTTGTTTCGATTAGTCGATTTTATTTAGTTTTGAAACAAAATGCCATGTTTTTTATGGTCACACGGTGCCAATACATAAAATTTAAGGATGTATATTTTTGGTGAAAATCTGGAAACCAACCCCTTTAAGTTTTGCTAATGTGAATGATAAAAGACAGTTTTATAGTCTGTTATTTTTTTTAAAGAAAAATATGAATTGTCTCAGAAATGAAATCATTTTGATTTTTGCTAGCTGTTGGAAATATGTTTTTGAAAAGGGAGAAAAAGAGGATACATTCTGTATTTTGGATTGAGAAGAACTTTTCACTCAAAACCCCTATTCGCTCAGATATAATAACTTGAGAGCCATTATGCTTATAATCATTATATTTGGTGGCAATGTTGATCGAGACTTGTACATTACCTCTGTAAATTATGAGGTTAGTTAGTTCTATGTCAAGCTCACAATGACCTTCAATTCAAACTCTATGACAGGCAAATATGTCCTAAGTATTTAATTTTGCTTGCTGTCCTCATCACTGCATGTAGGTATCGTGATTGTTCATTGTTTCTAGAAAACGAAATAGTATTACGTAAAAACGAATTAATATTTCGGATGACTGTACGAATTAATATTTCGTAAAATCGAATTAATATTTCGTAAAAATGAATTATTATTCGTTAAAACGAATTATTATTCGTAAAAACGAAATAAGATTATATAAAAACGAAATAAGATTTCGTAAAAACGATTTTATTTTTTCGTAAAAATGAAGAAATATTTCGTAAAAACGAATTAATATTTCATTCAAACGAAAAAAAGATTTCGTAAAACGAAAAAAGATTTCGTAAAAGCGTATTATTATTCCTAAAATCGAATTTCTATTTCTTAAAAATGAATTATTGTTTCGCAAAAACGAAGTAATATTTCGTAATTACGAATTAATATTTCGTAAAAACGAATTAAGTTCCGGGGAAAAAATATCACCTCGGGGCTTCGTAGTTTACTACAGTCAATTGAATGTCAATGGCAATCTAGTAAAAATGTGCATTATGTTTGTCTTTTTCTCAACCTCAGTAATTTTTGTTGTTTTGAATTATTATCGTGTATTTCTTTTCATCAATTTTTAGGAAAAACACAAACTTTGTCAAGGATATATATCTCACATGAATGTCCGGACTAAATGTTTTATTAAAGACATTGCTAACAAACTAAGTTCTTGTTTTTGAAAGTATATTGTATCTTTAAACTACGATTTTACCTTCACATTATTATTATCTTATGGGGTTATGTTCGGAGAAGGAATTTATAAACAAAGACAGATAAAGTTATAAGAAATATTGTCTTTAAGGAAAAAAATGAAAACAAGCATAATTTTAAGCTGCATATTTTGATATCCTTTGGGGCCAAAAATAGACAATAAAAAACTAAATTAAGAAGAAAAAAGAATTCCAGACTTTAAAAATACACTCATAAGTAGAACGAAGAACGGAACTATATTCTAAATGAAAAGAAAAAACAATAGAAAATAAAATGATGGTAATCGTACATATTTGAGTAATGATGATTTTTTTTGAAACACAGGAATAAATGAACATTTGATAATATTTCAGCATTGCAAATATGGTCAATTGAATCTGACCAGTAAAAGGGTATCAAATATCAAAAGGTTGCTGTCACAAACAAGAAAGGAAACACAGTTGAATCAAAATACAAAGTAACACCTTGTTAGTCAATTGTTAACACATTTAACATTTACTACACCGCATTGTCGTGTTTTTTTAAATAGAAAACAGTAAGATGCCAAAGAAACTAAACAAGTGTTGCAAATGACGACCTTTTTGTGCATGTTTAAATTAATCAAGCAATATGTAAAATATTTGCGCACTACACGTTGAAACCATATACTAATACAGACATTAGATTCGCTCAAATCAGATATGGAATTCAAAGTGTAAAAAATGATCTGTGTCAAAGAAAATTGATTGCACAAAATCGTCGATAAAGTGAAAAATGTAGATAATCAAAATAATTTGTCAGTGCAGAGAACAAACACAGAGAGACTAGACTCCTATAATTGATAATTGAATTTCTGAATTGTCTTTGTCCCGTTTAAAAGACAATGTTTTGCTTTGTTACAACAATACTTTGTCATAGATTCTTGAATATTTTTGACATTCTTGTGTGAATAATTGCGCATTGTATTTTCTTTTCTAATGATTTGCATGCTTATTTTTTCTATAAATCACCAAAACAACCTTTATGTCCGATTTCCAGGATATCTGGATCTAAACAGTAGCACCTAGAGTGTTAACGATGTTTTTTATATTTGGGCTGTGTGACCTAGTTTTTCACCAAAATTAACCCATATTCAGACTTGACATAGTGATCATCAAAACAACACTTCTGACAAATGTCCAGGCTATTTTGAAGCCTCTAGAGTGTTAATAATGATTTGCCGTATTTGGACTGTGCGATCTAGTTTTTGACCCCAAGTAACCCGTATTCGACCTAAAAATCACAACAACAACCTATATGAACAATTTCAATGATATCTGGATCAAAATACTAGCCAATAGAGTGTTAACAATATTTTAGTTTAGCTCCTTTTACAAAGTATTGTCATCCGATAATACCAATGTTCGTACCCGTCCGGGCGATAACTTAGACAAACATCCTGACAAAGGTTTGCGGAAATTGAGGCAAAGATGTGACCACTCAAGTGTTAACGAAATTTATATGAAAGGACGACAGACTTTCAAAGATCATAAAAGCTCATACTGAGCCAGCTCAGGTGAGCTAAAAGTGACTTTGGCGTTCACAAACGTTGTAAATTATATAAATCTCAAGTAGAAGGATACGTTTATGCAAGTGTGAATAGGCAGATAGGAAAAGTTGTATATATAAGAAAATGATGTTGGCAGTATTCAGAAGGACATGATCAATCCATTATTTTTATTGCACATGCTTAATTCTAACGATGCTCAAATCGTCTAAATAAAGAAATAAGGTATATAAAATGTCCTAATTCCTATTCGTTTGTAGCACCAAAAAACATACGTTAAACAGAAAACTCTAACGATGCTAAAACGTGAGACCAGACGTCCACAAGCTTGCTTTAAGCTATGTACAAATATCTCCCGAGTGCCTAATGAAACTTTAAAAACACCCTGAAATAGTTGACGTTCAAACCTCAGTAGATTACTAACATGCAAATACAAAAGTCTTCTACACCAATTGGTTTTTACACTTGAATGAAAACTAGCATTACCCTTTATCTTGTGCGCTCTATAGAGGATCAATATAATTTTGCATCAGAGAGAAGAACGTTAATTAAAAGTTCTTTTTTTATAACTGACAATTAGTTTTTAATCCAAAACTACCAACATCATACTTATAATTTAAATAAGAAGGTTCTGATTGCGAACACGGTTATTTATAATCGACTTTGTTCAAATCTTTGTCACGTTGGTTTGTTTGTTTGTTTCATTTTACGCCTTTTTCCAAACAGTATTTCAGTCATATAGGCGGGTAGTTTCCTAACCATCGGTCCTGGAGAGATACACCAGTACTGGACTACCTTCCTCCGCGCTAAACTCTTTGTCACGTAAAATAAGGGCCCTTATAATTGATTATTAGACGTGCCTTAGAAAAATTTAAAAACCAATCTTTTGATTAAGTTTTATCAAAGAAAGCAAACCCATTTGATGAAATCTAATAACACAATATTAATTTATATTGTACGTAGGCATTTCTTGGATTTTTATCCAGAATGACCTAAATTGAAACTGGTCAATATAATTTCATAAACAAAGGAAGATTTAACCGAAATCGTTAACACTAACAATATTTTTATGCTATTCCTAATGAAATGGTTAGGTTTTACGTCCCAACACTATCAATATTTCATTTCTTAAGGCCTCAACAGACGGTAGGATAAGTACAACATCAATTAAAACTAAGATTTAATGACAAATATTAATGTGTGAAGGCTACTATTTCTTGATTTCGTAAACCTAAAGTCTAGATGTAAGGGATAGGACATGTTCTATTTTGAAAATCTTGTCGTACAGATTTGTACAGACCTCCCACAATGACAAGTAACAGATTACCAAATAATCGCCTAATAATGGCTGTAATGAATGAAATTCCAATACAATTAGGGCTAAAAGGTAAACATAGTAGTAAGATGAGGTAAAAATGATGTTGAAAAACTCTTCAGGAGGCCCAAAGTTGTGGTATGTTCGAATTCCGAATTATTCCGAAAATGATTATTTAACTGTTCTCTAATTAGGGGAGGGCCGGATAGCTTAGTCAGTAGAGCCGCAGTATTGTATTCCGAGGGTCCCAGGTTTGAGTCTCGGTAAGGCTTAACATTAATATATATATTTTTTTTTAATAGAGGTGTTTCAATCATTACTCATGGCGAAAAAAGTATTTAGTGAGTAAACTATGTAAAGGAACAATTGGGAGGGATCATTTTTAGGGAACCTCAGATGATTCCTACAGTGTAGAATTACCGTCTGAATGCAAGTGTTGCATTGCTTTGAAAATTGTACATCTTATCTCTAATTAGTGCTGTACAACTAAATCCTACTGTCTGTTGAGGCCTTTACTGACAAAATGATTATCACGTTTCATTTTTTTTAAAAATAGAACTGATGTGGATATTTTTTTACTTGAGCAATATGTTTAATGTTTCTAGTTGTAGTATCAAAATATGTATGTTTTATCTTACCGAAGACATCTACATCAACATAAAACCCCAGAATTTCCAATGGTTGTGCGTCCATTATCCTGTAAACAGCTGTAAAACGAATGCATAAGTTACAAAATGACGTAGACCTGCCTTCATAGAGGCATGAACATTAAGTAGAATAAAAACAATTTTATCGTAATTCAAAGTAAGCATGATCTAATTAAATATTTTTTTCTTCTTGGTCCCGTCGATTCTTTTTTTCTAGTTAAAAGATGTGCATTACTTAACTTGGTGACCGTAGGGAAATTGTCTAGAATTAATTACACGAGCGTGTCTCATTGAAATTTCCATAATCACAACCGAAAGAAAGCAAAATTAAAGACATTTTTATTGCCAAGTATTACGTGAAAAACATAAACCAAACGTGTAACACAAACTCGTACTCATATTTAAGCCTGTCAATTAAATGACATAGAACAACAAAAAACGATTCGTTTAAAAAATAACATTGTCTTCACAATGCCGTTATGATTTAGTAGAATCCTGGTAAACAAAACAAAAGATGAAAAGAACTTAAATTTTGAGATAGATGGATATTATCTTTTGATTCTTTTTGTCCGTTAATACATATAGAAAATCTATTTGTACTAGCAGTGTGCAATTTCAATCTCTTTTCAACGTTTTAAACGTAGGAAATATGAGTATCGTTGCTTTATTCTACTCATAAGATATGACTTATCAATTTTCTTCATAAAGATTTACATAGCAGTGTAAGTTTATATACTTTCTTACCTGTAGAATCATCAAACTCAACAATGACACTTTTCTCTTTAGATTTAATGCTAATGTCAATAATTTTTCCTCCAAAATCTGTTTTATTTTCGAAGAACATTTTCATCATCTCTTTATTAATATTGACTGGGAAGTTGGTGATTTGTATCTTTTTAGGCTGGTCAATATCCTCTTAAAAATGAAATATGAAGTAATCATACAGAATAATACAAATTGTAGGCGATTTGCTCATTTGGAGTAATCAAATTCAAAACAAATACTTACAGGAAAAGAAGAGACAGATAAGAATTATATTGAAATCGGCGATTAAATTTTTCTTAAATATGATTACTCTTATGTGGTTGTACAGCATCAAAATGATTAAAACAGTTATGCCGTAAACCTCAAATTAGTTTGATAATGCTGATTGAAACAAACAGAATATTTTAATAATATTTGAAATTCTCAATTAGAATATCATAATTATAAATCAAGAAATATAATACTAAGGCTATGCATGTTTTACTAGATATTATTGAAGATAAAAGAACGTGTTGAACCATTTAGAGAGTTGCATAGTGATTTCAAAAAATATACATGGCAACGCACATGTCCTATACAGCAAGGCATATTAGATTTTTTCACTCTAATCAAGTGATTTGTATCAATATGTAAGAAAATGAGATATTGATGTAAGCTTTAAGTCTGACCATTTAATAATATATAAATATATTTGTTTTTTTAAGTGAATCATGGGAAATGTTATTGAAACTTAATTATGCTCTTTTACAGGAGATTGATTTTTTTAAATACTATTAACGAGAAAATAAATGAAGTTAAATTACAATATTGTTAAGCGGTTTATAATATTGATAATGTGTTAGATAAAAATAATAAAGATACAGAGTTTGTTATTTCTGATAAGTTTATTTTTAGAAACACTTCATATGGAAATAAGAGTTAAAACCATTTCTTAAGCTCTTTTAAGGTCAAAGGGAGAAATATTTGCGAGGATGAAATTATTTTTATAAAACAAATTTGACAAATGACAATACAGACAGGCGTTTACATTTAATAAGCTCTTCAGAAAATCTTTGACAACAACTATTGTGTAAACATAAGAAAAACCCATACATTTTCATTGTACTTCATGTATTGTTTGCTATTATAAATATGTTACATGTTTTATGCAATAAATATATTGAATTGAATTGAATTTACATTATGTGCTAAATTCGTTAAAATCCAACAAAATAAGAGGATTAGGTCAAGGTCAAAATCAATAGAATCTGAAGTAAACCCTTCTTATTATTTATTAAGATTAGAGAAATCACATTGCTAAGAAAAAGTCATGCCTTTTATAGAAATGGATAATGGAACATTTATTTACGACCAAATGGATACATTAGAAAAAACTTCTTATTATGAAATGTTTATAATAAGATCAATTTGAGCGCAGAGTCAAACATTGATAGAGAACTGAGGAATGGTGTTGTTACAAAGTTGACAAATGATGAGTCTGTGAAGCTTGAAGGTTTACTCTCATATGATGAAGTTTCTTTAACATTTTAAGTAATGTAAAAAATGATAAAAGTCCGGGCTGTGATAGATTCGCAACATTTAAAAAAAAACTTCTTGTAACAAAATTGGACATTTTGTAGTTATAAAATATACTTATAATGTAAATACTTTTCCAAATAGTCAAAACCTAGGAACAATAACATGGATTCCAAACGAAAATAAACCAAAACATTTTTTGAAAAACTGGAGACTAATAACTTTATCAAATGCTGTTTATAAATTGGCTACCAGATAGTCAAAACGGTTTCCTATCAATAACTTTACAACCCATGGATCATACTTCGCATATGCATTGCTTTTGGTCAGAAGATGACCACAATTGAATTTGGGGTGCAATGGACCCAGAGGTCCAGATTATATTGACCTTATATGTAAACTCGCTTCCTGGTCAACATCTCAACAACTCATTGGCCCTTTACCTTCAACCTTTACAGGTGCATTTGTCTTGGCAAGTTGGTAACCACTGTTTATTCAAGGATCAAAGGTCAAAGTAACATTAACTTTGTACGTAAAAAAGATTTTCGACCAAAAACTCAACAACTCAAGTTGCCTTGGTTGATTTTGATTTCTTAAAATGCTTTTTGTATACACATTTCAAGGTCTATGAAATATAAAAAACTGGCTGTCATTAAGGAGGCCTACATGATTTATAAAATATGGGCATACAATTCTTGGTAAGATTTGTAATAACTTGGTCATAAAATTGCTACACACAATTTTTACGGTCGAAGTTATCTAGTGACTAGGCATGACCGGTTGATAACCCTTATTGATTGTTCGGTAACTAGGCCAAAAGTTTGTAACAATAACCTGACCACATGACTAATTGGTTGCCGATATGGAGCAAACATGTTTTACAAACATATTTTGTTGTAAACACTGTTTAAAGATAAGTTTGCTTAAAAGGTACGTTAGTATAAGTGACTGAAAAGGTTTTAACCTTGTGAAATCACTGTTTAATACAGATAAAATTTTGGATACTGGAAAATTGTTCTGTGAATTGATAATTAATAAGATTAAGAATAGATTCTAGATTGATGTTTTGATAGTCCATTTTGTACTTATGTATAAACTTTATATATATGATATTGAACAAGTGCTACATATGCCACTATTTTATAACCATGAATTGATAACAGGGAGAGTATCGTTTTCATTAACATTTTACATGACCATGTATTTAGATTTTTAAAGGACATTTTAAATCAACATGGAGACTTGAGTTACAAATTACATGTAAACCAAATATTATTTTACATTATCACAGTTGGCAATAAAAAGATACACACAAACCCTTAATTTTTGTGTTCAAAATGACTAACTGTATGTTCAGTATCCTATTATAAGTTGTTACATCACACTTATCATAGTTGTCAATATAAATTATAAATATGTTAAAAAAAAACATGGTAATAACTTCAGTGGTACCAGCATGTCAAGAAAAGTGGAAATTATAATTTAGAGATATTACCCTAAACAGGAAGTTTATATATGTTGTTGTATTTAATTGTACTAAGGATTCATATATTCAATGGCTTCAGACAAGAATTATCCACAGATATTTGCATCAAACATGTCAAACCCTCTTTTATCTAAATGAAAATAGTAAATTCTAAAATGTGCACCATTTGTTAATGTCAAGAAGAAAGACTAATACATTTATTTTGGGAATGCAACAAGATTCAGCCAATATTTCAGTTTCTGATACCTTTTCAATTGGTAATCTGTAAACTAAATGATAATAAATATCTTATTATATTCTATTCTTATTATATATAAAATGTTATCTACTTGTACTGGTTTTAAAAATAGCTTGACATTGGGTTGGAATATTGATAAAAATATGAATTTGACAAAAGAAGACATCAATAGATGGCAAATTGTTACATCTCTTATTGTATAACTGATACAACTACACCATAATTTGAAATT